ACTCCATGGTTGGAAATTGGACAAGTGTACTCCACTCTACCTCAGAAAAAAAGCAAGAATAATCTCACCTCACACTAGAGGAACCTTGGTTATGAATGTGGATGATCATTTATTCACTTCAAACTTACAAAAAAAGAATAATAACTGGGGTGATTCATAACAAGGTTGGAAGATGAAATTATTTGTGGACTTTGAAATGCATCTACTAATTAAGGAATTTCATATCCAGATGATGAGTGGTTACAAGAAGTACTGATGTAAGATTCAGAAATATTGGAAATGTGTGATCCAGATTTGTTGGAAAGATGGGATTCATATTCACTGGATGAGGCGGTTGGTGGGATATATTGGGCAACAACATGGGGGAGCATTTCATGAAAAACAAACCATACATTTCCTGTATTAATTTGAGAAAAATCACAAACAAGATTCCCCATGACTTCGATTGCCACTTCATGAAAGTCAAGAGGAGTATGAGCAAATAACAAATTGAGATTTGGGTAGTCTGTCTGTAACATCAAGTCGATATCAGAGGAAGGCATCTTGAGGAGTTGATTGGTGGTTCCAAAATATTCAGGGGTGCTATATGCAAACTACGAGCTTACACCGGTTGGAAGTGTAGTGAGATGATCCCGTTGCTTTTGGTAGCTGTTGTTATACGTATCAACCCAGCTATCAACACTTGCTTGGAGTACAGGAACCCACAGAAATAGAAACAAGAGTCTGAAGCAGGTAAGTTAGTAATAATCAAAACAAACAAAGAGTTTCATTATACTCACTTTTGAACATCATCTTGGTCATCATAACTCCCATCTTCAATGTGACTTAGAATATCGTGTTTAATTGCACGGTTGTGCTGCTTCATCATCTGAGACCAAAGGGATTTGATTTTTTGATTATGTGTTGACTTGGTGTAATGCATTTGCTTTGCTGCATCTTCGAGTGAGATTTCCATGTGAGTATATGTTAATTCCATCATACACCTAGCCATTTTAACAGTTTTGGTACCACAGTCGGGTTGTGAGTAGGAGTGGGACTCCACCAGCCTTAGATGCAAGTTGAAGGAAGTACACCGCAATGTGGCGAGGGTTGTTGTTTGTTACATGAACGAACATCCCAAGAATTTTTCTTGACCAGGCATTGACGAATCCGTATATGGTAAGTCCAAAGCACTTCAACTTATCATGTCCATCACTGGACCAGATGTGGTTGGGTCCATTTGTTCGATATATTCGACGTTTGCATACACCTCGTAGTCGAGCGGCCATACCCTCTGGATCGATTTCCCTGAGAACATCATAGACTAACCGTCTGGAATTGAAAGGTAATAGGTTATTCTGTAGTTTATTTTTGTAAGACCAGGACAAGGATACTTACTGTGGGATTTGAATATCATATTCCCTCATGAGGATCATTCTCATCCTTCGATAGCCAGCACCGCTTTCTAACCTTCTAGTTCGAGCATTGTTGATAGCATCATATACTTGCTGAATAGTAACTTTACCATGAGTTACATTGTTTCAAAGAAGTTTCAAGTTAAGCTGTTTTAAGTAGCACTTGATGGTATGGATGGATACATTGACACTTGTCTTTTTAGCTAGCCGTGCCTGAATCTCGTTTAGATTCATTCCTTTGGAGTGTGAGAAAACTAGTGAGGCTCAAATCTTGGGGGATAGTGGCGTGGGAGGTGGTGCTTGTTTGATATCACATAATCGGAGTCCCCATTCTTTTTGTTTTCAGCTGAGAGTTCTAGCAGACATCTGTATTCCATGTTCATCCCAAAGAATTTTTAAGATATGTGGACCTTTGTAGCCAGTTGAGAGTAGATTTTGAACTATGTTTTTTTGGTGTTGTTCGCTAGTATCAGGAGGAGCTGAATCACTTTTGGATGAGTCGGATTGGGTATCAGAGTTAAACGAGTATGGTGGATCATCTGGACCAGAGTTTTCTGAACAATCATCGGAGGTGAAGATCTCTTCTCTATCTGTTACAGAACTTTCTTCATTATTGGAAGCCGTTTCATCGTCCTCATCTTGGTCTGAGCTGGAAGAATATTCCTCAACTGATTGATTTGATTGGGTTTTGGAATGACTAGACCTGGAGGTATTGAAAGATTGTTTGCTGGAAGCCTGCTCATCAGAAGATGAGATTTCTTTGTCTGAATTATTTATGCTGGAGGTTTCAGCATCAAAAGAAGAGTTATCGCTCATTTTTTTGGGATTTCAGGAGATTACTAATGTAATAAAAATGTGATGTTAGTACTGATAATGAAAATGAGATGTCAAAAGTGGTAGAACAAAAGATGTTTCTCTGAATTTTTAATAAGAAGCAGTGGAGAAATTGAATAAAAGTCTTTTATTTCCCTACATTACTTATTATTTAAATGAGTTGCACACATGTACATGTAGTCCTTGCATCCGTGAAAGGAATTTTTTTCAAGTTTACATATGTACATACATACATGGCATAAGTGAGAGGAATTTATTTACAAGTTTACATGTGCATATGTATGAGAAGGTGAGAAAAAAATAAAGTTTATGTACAAGAAAACAAAATCCCTCAGTTGCATGAGCAAGTTTGGGGGGGGATCAGTCAGGGTGGCGCGATTTGTGTCCCCTGTGAGCTTCCGTAGTCCGGTCTATTGGATCATAGGGCAATTTCAACCGCTGTCTGGATGATATCCGGTACCCACTGGTACTGGTTGGGTGTTTTTTATTGTATTTAGGATGCTTGGTTTGTCTTGTATTTCACATCATTTATGGGTCAGTAACAACAAACAACAGGCAATACATTGGTCACAACAACAGGCAATAGCTCAGTCACATCAACTGGCAATAGGCACTAACTAAGCAGGCAGTTGAGGGCAAGAGGACAGGCAATATACGAGGGAAAGGAGGCATAATCATGTGGATGGACAATGAAGACCAAGAGGGAAAGACAACAGGCAATAGGCTGGGACTAAGCATGGCAGTCGAGGGCAAGCAGACAGGTGTTATGTGAGGGAAAGAAAGTAGGCAGTTGGCCTCTTCTTGGTCTTATCTGGCAAGATGGAAACGGAGAAGGAATGTTACCTTTATCTAGTTGTTTGTGGTGGTGGCTGTTGGATTGATTTGAGATTGCCGCACCACTGGAGTGTGGTTCAGTCGCGCGAACTCTGCTGCCAACTCCTCGTCAGTTGGAAGGGCAATACACTCGCGAGGGATGTCCCCTATGTACTTGATGCCATCAAAGTACTGGGTGTCTTTTTGCATGATGACCTCAATGTGCCTGCAGTCCCAAAAGAGTTGGCTTGAGTAGTTTTCTGAGAATAAGCCTTGTGTAATTGGGTGAGATGGGACTCACGCTTGGACCATTACTGGACTGAGGCCAGTGATCATCTCCAGGTGGCGGTCAATGATTTTCCAGTGGGAAAGGGTTTGCCCTGGCTGTCGGTTCAGGTAGTGGTTGGCCGCTAAAAGTCAAAGCATAGCAAACCGGAACCTGACAGCCCCGGTGGCCCATTGGTTCAATTCATCTTGAGGGAGGGAATGGTGCCTGCGGGTGAGGCC